ATAAGTAATCACTCCATAAACTTACTTATATGTATGGTAAACGTAATTTCATGGTAGATGGGCATCATTTCTAATATTTTATTAAGTAATTTACTTAAACTTCATATAACACCTAATAAGTGGAATAACCCCTATAAATCTCTATTTTCTAAAGAAATGGAAACATCTAAGGTCTTAAACCTCTTTAATATTCATACTAGGTCAGTGCATGATGTAGCTGTGCAATAAAACAAAATTTTCTTATTTTCTTATTTTTTCTTGAAATATGTGCGCTAACCAACCCCCTACGAAAATACTAAATTTTCTGATAAATGCTATTTGTAGTATTTAATCTCTTTAGTTTCATTTACAATTAACTAATCACACCAAAACGTATTTATATGTATGGTAAACTTATTTTCATGGTAGATTGGCATCATTTCTAATTTTTATTAAGTAATTTATTTAAACTTCATATACCATCTATTAAGTAGACTAACCCTTATAAAAACTTTATTTTCTAGAGAAATGAAAACATCTAAGGTCTTAAACCTCTTTAATATTCATACTATGTCAGTGCATGATGTAGCTATGCAATAAAACAAAATTTTCATTTTTCCTTATTTTTCTTGAAATATGTGGGCTAACCCCTACGAAAATACTGAATTTTCTGATATATGCTATCTATAATATTTAATCTCTTTAGTGTTATTTACAAATAACTAATCACACAAAAAACCTTTTTTATATGTATGGTAAACTTATTTTCATGGTAGATGGGTATCATTTCTAATTTTTATTAAGTAATATATATACAGGGAGCGGTTACAATTTTCCTTTTCTATAAAAACCCAAATATATATATATATAAGACTTTCCTTTTCCTCTGTGACTACAGATTAAAAAAACACACAATCTATTTTTTTTCCCCTCGATCATATTAAACCAAACTGAAAAGATTACAAGGTCAGATACATTTTTAGGATCAGTCTAGTTATTTTTAATAGTTCTTACTAAGGGTGGACACCCAGTTTAATTTTAAAAAGCATTTGAGTTTTAGATTTTTTAAAAAAAAAGGAAAGAAAGGGAGCATCAGTTCTTCAGTGTAATCGTTGATTCAACATCTTCACAAGATCCCCCATTCACAAACAACGAGTTTCTCTTTGCTTTCTTCTTAAAATTTCTCTCTTTTATTTGTGAAATACGACTAGTGAGAACGAAGTAAAATATAATTATTTCCTACTATATATATGTGATTTCATTACAGTACATTCACTAAAGAATTTTTGTTAAAAAAGTTTACAAAAAGTAAAGAAATCCAGTAATTACTAATTGGAATGTATATAGAGAAATTGGTGCCAGTACCCACAAAAACACCATTTATTAGCCATACAACCTCTGAAAATTTAACTCTATTTACTTGACCATTTTGTCCTTTTAGACTGTCTTCCCTACACCTCATAGCCTTTTTGTTACAGGTAGAAAACGTGCAGGCCCTCTGTCACAAGCAGAAAACATGCTTTTACACATTGGTTAAAGCGATGTCTTAAAAATTTCTCATTATTCTTTTCTATCATTTCTGGCGTTCATTCTTTCTAATTTTCGATTACTTCGGTTGTTCATCTTTCTTCTCTGCAACTTCGATCACAATCTCCATCGTATATGAGCTTCACTATTGCCATTCTTCTCACTTCTTTCGATTACGACCTCATACTCACCATCATGGATGTCGTCTCACTCAGCCTTGAATCTTGGCGAGCCACTACGAACTCCATCTTCCTCCCCCCGACATCCTCTGTGAAACCACACGTAGCCATCAGTCATTCTTTCGTCGTCTCAGTTCCAGCGTGACCGTCAATTGTTTTGTTTATATTCTAAATTATAGATTAATCGTTAACATCTACTTTTTCATTTATGAAATAGATAAAAAAAAATTTGAGTCTTCTAGTTAAGTGCTAACAAATATTGGTAATTTATATTATTTAATATTATACCGACTTAAACCTTAAGAAAGTTCTACATGTATGTATACCTATGAAGGTCAACATGACTATATTTTTCTGATTTTAGGTGATTTAAGTTACCAAGTTAACCCCTTATATAATAGTAAACATATGTATTTATATGCTACTTTTTTTGTTAACATGCTAATTTGTTTTATAACATGCTAAATATTTTTTCTTTTACTTTTTAAATTTAAGATTAGTTAGTTAATAGTTTTTGTAACCATTAAACAATTCGTTAGATTGAAAATAATATAGAATTATATGGTGTATTGTCAAGTTACTGACTTGTTTAGCGTGTTATAAGTAAACATAACTCTATAACAAAGTTTGTAACTTGCTAGAAAATTTCTTACTCGCTAACAAATTCGGTAACTGATAAATGAGTTCATAAATGGTTTGTGTGACTGATAAATGATTTGTTTCCTTGCTAAATAACTTGTCGCTAATCAGTGCATGGTTTGTGTAACTGATAAATAGTTTTATAAATGGTTTATCAGTTTCTAAATTATTTGAAAATGGTTTTGTTAATTGATAAATTAGTAGGTAAATAGTTTGTGAGTTAATACGTTTTTGGTTAAATAGTTTATTATATGATACATGAATTTTTATGCGATACGAGTTTTGTTAACATAAGAAGTACGAAACTCTTCTTTATCCAATGGACCGTCGTCTGTTCTGCTGCCTATCGTCTGACACACATATTGTACTATTGCCAAATATGAATGTGATAAAAGAGAGGTATTTTCGTCTATACAATACCAAAAGGATACACCTTTTTGGGTTATCCAAAACTAATAAGGACATTTGACCAATTTAGATTTTTTTTGGGTATATTACACCTATTATCCCATGTATATATATGCTTACAGTTCGATATCGGACAGAAACCACAGTCGTATCTCTGTCCAAAATGTTTTGCTTTGGAATTTAAAAAAAAATGTGTATATGAATGAGAAACTTCATTGGCTTTTAAGCCACCGGCACTTCCGTATTGACGTAACCGGCGACGCCGGTGCAATTACCGTTAACGACAACGTCATTTCTGGCCACCCCTAGACTCTTGATGATTCCTTGGAGGTCTCTCTTATGCAGATTAACCACAAGTCCATTCTTCATAAAAAGTGTCAACGACATCTTCTGCTCCACTTTGTGTCCCGGCACAACAGTAATCCGGTGACGGAGAAGCACCGCCGCCGCGATGGTCTTCATCTGAAGATACGCCAGATCTTTTCCCAGGCAGATTCTTGGTCCTGCGTTGAATGCCACGAATCGATACTGATCGTGGTTTATGAACTTGCCGTCGACCGGCGAGATCCATCTCTCCGGGACGAACTCGAGACAATCCTCTCCCCAAGTCGACTTCATCCTCCCCGCCGCGTATATCGAGTAACTCACCGAAGATCCCGCCGGGACGAAGGTTCCGTCCGGTAAAACGTCGTCGTTCTCGACGTGCTTCGAGTCTTCCGGCACCGAAGGGTAAAGCCTGAGCGTCTCTGAGAGCGCCGCCTTCAGGTAAACCAGTCTGTCGATCTCGTCGAAGTTCAACGGCTCCTCCGTCCAAGACGCGGCGTTCTCGGTGCCACGTGTCTCGATCAGAACGGAGCAGATCTCCCGGACGATTTTATCCTCGACGGTTGGATGCATGGTGATGAGCCAGAAGAACCAGCTCAGCGCAACTGATGACGTGTCGCGTCCAGCTAGGATGAAGTTAAGCGCCACGTGTTGGAGGAAAGTGTCGCTGTACGCTTCTTTCTTCTTCATCATGAAGCGCGAGAGTAGGTCGTCGTGTCCCTGGGCCCCACTCTCCTGCTGATCCATCAACTCTTGCTTACGTGTGCTTATGACCTTTGCTAAATATCCATCGATCTCTCCCAAGCTTCGGCTCAAGCTGACTTCTAAGCCGAGTCCTAGCCATTTCTTCAGCTTCCACAGAAACTCCGGTATAATAAACCGTTGAAGCGAGGCTTCAGTGGCTCTGTCGAAAGCCGAGGCAAAACCGTTCTCGGGAAGCCCCGGTGCGCAGGTTCTTGTGTCCTTACCAAACGCTAACCCGCAAATGTTATCAAATGTGAGCCGGAGTATCAAGTCCTGGAGATCGATCGGCTCAGATTTGGTTTGAGCCGATTCAAGGATTGGACAGAACCGGAGCTTGATTCCTTGGTTTACCCATCTACCCATGGCTTGCCTCAACGTTCTGCATTAGTAAATTACGAGTACCAAACGGAAAATTAGTAGTTTAATAACTATCCCTAAGTGAAAATGCTAACCAATAAATTAGATTGGTTCAATTATTATAATATTAATACAGATCCAATATTCAAGATACAAATCGTTGTTCTATCTACATTATCTGGTAGTTAACCAAAGAGAAGGAGATTGTAAGAATTAATTATACATATCTAACTGAACGTGAAATTCACTCAATGGATAATATAATGTCTTCTAGCTGACCAATGGTTTTGCTTCAATTATATAATGTAACTGCATGATGATGACTGAGAAAATTAGGTTACCTTGTAGTGAATTCGAGAGCTGCGGTTTTGCGTTGGAAGAGCCAGGTGTCTCCGTCGGAGTTGAAAATACCTTGACCGAGAAGGTCGTGGAAGACGGATTGCCACGTGGGACCTTTAGGGTAATTATCGAACCGGGTCTTGAGCATGTGCTCAAGATTCCTTGGGTCACATGTGACAGTCACTAGACCTTGCTTCCTTGCCAAGAAAGGTACTGCACATATACAAGTCTGGTAAGTTCCACCGCAAGCACGGAGGTTCTCGGTGATCCATTCATGCATCCTGTCACGCTGCTCTATCAGACCAGGGAGGCTGCCCAATACAGGCCACACACGTGGTCCCTTTAGCCATCGTGATATCCTCTTGAACCATAGCCAATACGCTGCAGCGACCGCTACAAGAAGCATCACATTGGACATTTCCATATAGCTCTTTGGTTACTATTTCCGGATAAACAGAAAAATGAATGAGGTGATTGAGAAGAGAAGTGAACAGATGAGTTGGGTGAGAATGAATGAGTTTTCCGGTAAAATTTATAGAGAGGAAAATGAGGAAGAAATTCTCTCTCTCTTACAATTTGTAGCTCGTAACTATCAGAATCAAACACTCATTTATGATTCCGCGGTTCTCGTTGAGATATAATGAGGATTTTTTTCAGTTTTGGAAGTCAGGAAGTGGTAAAGTGGTGTGTGTTTATGCCTTGCTGGTACCTAATTTTTCAGCGAAAGGAATAGTTTCATTTAATGAGTTTCCCTGATTGATTATATATATAGATGTATGTCTTATGTAGCTGTGTGGTGAATTAAATGGAGTTAGTTGAGAATATAAAGGCACAAAAACAGATGGTGGAGGAAAAGAAGAAGAGTCGTCTATTTTTTTCTAATATAGAAGTTTAGGGCTAAAAGTTAACACATGCTTTGGTTTTGCTGGTAAGATTGGTTTTAAGATGCAATCATTTATAGGTACAGCTACAAATGATATTCAGTTTTTGGTTTCGTCTATTTAGTTGTTTTAGTATGAGAATATCTGGGTTGTTTTTAGGAAATCAAATGAACTGTAAACTGAAGAAAAGCTAATACCTATAAATGTTTTGATAACCAAACATCCTCACTTTGGGTTATCGGTTTCAGAATTTAGTAAGCAGCTTCAGACCTAGACTAGAAATTAATTATTAGGGCCGGACAAAATATCCGTAAATTTTGATTCATTATCTGTTTCGATTCGAACCAAAAAATTCGGATATCCGTAATTTTACGAAACAAAACAAATACTAAAATGTGATAACCGTAAGAGACGAAGCAAATAACAAATACTAATATTTTTAGGAACGAATATCCGATCAGATCCGTTATATACATATATATATTTAAAGAAGTATATATAGAAATTATATAAATATTATATTTTATTTATGTTTTACAAGATTTTTCTTTATTAAATTTATTATATTAGTTATTAAAAATTTTTACATTAATTAAATTTTATTTTTGTAATAAAATATTATTATTTTATATTATTTTGGATTTTATTTATTTTTTAAAAAATTATTTTATTTTTACGGATCAAATCGGATATCCGGTAAAATCCTAAATTTTTCTGGATATACAGGATGGCGAATATCCGAAGGGCTACGGATCAAATTGAATCGGATAATTGATTATTCGAACGAAACGGATCAGATCACGAATATCTTCGAATACCCGGATATTTGCTTTGTGTCCACCCCTAGAAATTACTTTAGGAAACACACATCTCTGCGTTTCTTCTCATTAAGCTAACCCTACTAGAAACATTGGTTGTGTCACTATTTTGACTTTTTTGGGTTTTCATTCAATGCTATTTCTATCTTTTATTTTTACTGATGAAGATACTGCTATGTTAACCAAAACTGGAAAAAAAAAAAGTGGGGCATGGCAGAAGAATATTATGTAAGAAATGTCGCTGAGTGGGATGTGAAAGTCAAAAGGACTGCTGACTTTTTACCATGCACCTCGTGTTGGTTTTTTTTTTTTTGTGCTGATTTTTAACATCATTTTTCTTCGTATACTGATATACCATATGTGTCTGTATATTTATATATATTATTTGTTTGATCTTGTTTGACGTTTTAGAGAATTTTATATGGTAACAAAGTATAATATATATATACATGGACATGCAAAATTGGCTATTAATCATTTCTTAAGTTTAATTATTAATCATCCCTAAGGTCCTAAGCATATGCAGATTGATCACTGCACTAGATTATGTGCATAATCGAGTTCCGCTTATGTTTTGTAGTCACTGATAAATTATTGTAGAAGAATCGTACTTGTTTCAAAAGATAAACAGAAAAGAACCTGTGGCTTTTAATAAATGGAACATAAAGGTAGGTGTATAGTAGTGAAGATTAGATGGCTTCCCAACCTAAAAAATTTTGAAAATCATTTATCACTCATGGTTGACTCCTTTTTCTTCTTTTTTTTATTAGATCGAAATCACTAAATGAGACAGGATATCTTCGTTATATTATGGAACTGCAACATCATTTACTAGAAAACGAATATATTTATGATCAGCGCTTGCACTATACATCCTGAACTGAAATGTATTTTAATCAGACTTCCGGAACTTAAATGTCAATAAAATTCAGGCTCTCTCTAACTGCAAAGCGGCGGTTGAAGCTTTATCTATGTCCCTTTTTGGCTACATTACTGTTCGATCACAGTTGACATTTTTTCCTCTTACATTTGGCCAGCATGGAGTATTTTGTCTCGTTCCTTCCAAATAGAGTAGATAGTTTTTGGCTTTTGGCTCATGATTGAGGAGGCAAATGTTTGAGCCACTGTTGCGTGTCATTCCCTGTATATGGCCTCTGGTGTCTCTTGTTAAAGTATGTACTTTGGAATAACTTCTTCAGATTAATGAATTTTCCACAGGACTAGAAAAATGAAATGAAATAATGCCATTATAAATCAGTCGAGCTCTACGACGTGACATCATAGTACTTACTGTAAAGATTAGGCCTTTCTCCGTAGTGGATGCTTGTGCATTGCGACAGCAACTGTTGCGGTGAGCTCTCAATGACCAACGAAGACAAAAACTCAAGGTGAGTTTCTTATAATAGCACGTACTTTCTTGAGCTTTGATAGAACCATAACTTATATGACTCAAAAAAGAATTTTATTATATTTGAACGTTTGCTTTACAAACATGCGTAGGGATTACAAACCGAAAGGGTTGAGTAACTTTGGGAGGTATTGATTGTCCCACTAATATATATCAAACGTTGAAAAACAAAGACCAGAAAATGGTCATTGACACAAATATAGGTCAAATCACAGACCCAAATTATTAACTTGCAAACCAAGCAACTTCCACAGCAGGTGAAAACAATGGTATACATAATAAGTAGTCGATCACCAGCTGAAACTGATAGATTCGAAATGGAGATTGTTAGCCAAATCAGCGGAACAGATTTTCGCAACCTGTTGTCTCATCTTCTTTGGACCACACACAAGAACTCCCACACTCGAACCTTCCACGTCAAGTAGTAGTTCTGTTCATATACAAGCACCTAATTAGGATAACAATACTCATATATATTCATATAGATAAAGATGTAGAAAGAGAGATAAGGTAATATTACTGGTGAGGTTAGGCCTTTCTCCGTAATGAATGGTGGTGCATTGCACTAGCGATTCTTGTGGGGAACTTTCAATTTCTCTCATGGAATACGGGACTGGAGAAGACGTTGTAGATGGAATGTCGACGTTCTTGACCTGTTTATCTTGGATCATGTTGTTACCGTACTTGGTCTTGTTCAAAAACATAGCTGCACTTGAAGTGGCCATGATGCTCACACAGATGGCTAAGATGTATATAATGGATTCTGAAGTCCATGAATAGATCTTGTAGGTGTTGTGGTCGATGGGGTAAATGTAAAACCTAGTGATGATACCGATAATTATCATAAAGATGAGGAATGATGATGAGAGAATTCCACCGAGCCAGAGCCATGAGTTTGGTCCGAGGATTGATGAGATGGGTTGGTCTGAAAGATTTGGTCTGAACCAGAGAGTTTTGATTTGCTCTGAGCTTGCGTCGCTTCTCGCTTCTTTCTCTCGGGTTATGAAGGCTTCAATTTTAATGTTAATGTCAGAGGATAGCTCAGTCTGGAGACCGGATAGTGGCAAGATAAGATTGAGCATTGATATTTCTGAAGAGTGCTTAAAAGCGCAAATGAGAGTGATTTTGGGGATTTTGCATTTTTGGTTTTGGCTTGTTGCGATCACATCACGGATGACAGAGATAAATGGAGTTATCCCGCTTCCTCCGCACACCATAACCAGAGCTTCATGCCTATAAGGAAAACATATGATATCAATGCATATTTCTTCAGACGCAAGCAATCAATAAAATTAATCAAGTTTTTTTTGTGCTCGGCTAGCTGCTAGTTTAAATATATATATATGGGTCTTTGAGAAAGTAATTCATTCACCTAAAGAAATCGGTGGAAGCAGGGCCGTAAGGACCCTCGACAGAAACAGCGAGGCGGTCTATCTTCTTAGAAGAAGAAAGCATCTGGTAAAGCTTAGTAGTCCATTTGCCTTCGCTTTTGATCACAACACTTAGCTTCTCTGCCTCAAGGTTGCTACTCGAAGTTACCGTAAATGGATGCCACTGCAACTTGGAAATGCTCGGTATGTTCACAAACAATATGCTCGTCGGGGTATAAACCAACCCTGTTTAATAACATATATATTAGCTTAGAAATTAAAAATCGAAAGAACGAAAGAATAAGAGAATTAATACTATTGAGATCACTCACTAGGGTCTTTGGAGAAAGTGAGCTCGATGGTGTCGGAAGGAAGAATCCGAGCAGAGAGCAAGCGAATATTGTCACGTGACTGGAGAAACCTTAGGAAACGGTCGACCATGAAAATGTAGAAACCGGCAAAAGAGATGAACGAGTAAGAGATGCCGACGTGGAAGACGAAGAAGAGCATGAAGACGATGTAGAGGTAGTGCGTGTAGAAGAAGACTTCGAAGAATCTCCTCCTTACCGCTGGATATGTGGTGGCCCACATCACAAGCCCTGCCACCAGCGATATCTCTCCGGCCAAGTTCGATATATCTTTTGTATCCCACATGAGCATCTGCAGTTGATTAAAATTAATATTTGGTATATTTATGATTATCTTGAAACTCAATACGAAATTCTTTTCAGTTATAGAACCGCATGAAATGAAACTTTACATATTAATTTGCTTTATTTTGATCATTTATGCCGCTGAAAACCCAAAATATTAAATTTGACCGCGGTTTGTTATATTAAACTATACTAAAAAGTACTGCACGTATGGAAGCTGATCCATTCAGAGATGACGTTGACGGGAACTGGTGCATTGATTTAGAGTCGTTGCTTTATTCTATCCCGATGTGGGACCCAACTTTTGGACTATTGGGCAAAGCCAAAAAAAAAAAAAAATCTTATCCATAATATTTGATAGCTAATCTTATATACCTGGGAGATTTCATGCACAGAGACCCAATAGATGATGTAACATAGACCATGAGCGGTGAAAATTGCAATGACCATATGGCCCAGCCAAATATGGTATTTGATGCTTGACTCCGAAGTTAGTCCCACCGCCGGTAGCAACGACGAGCCACGTGCCACCGGTAAGAACAAAAACGCTAAACATATGTTTCCGATCAACCCTATCCTTAGCGCCGCTGATTCCAGCCTGGCTTGCCACCTTATAAATTCATCAAAATTTTAATCAAAACTATGCTAAACTCCCAATATAGTTATCTTAGTCTTAAGAGATTTGACATGTGATATAAACCATGCATTTACTATAAGTCTAAGAGAAAGAAATGCTTACAAAGATTGGCCATCTTCAGCGGCTGATTGAGGAGTGATAGTGGCAAATTTATTGCGCAAGTAAGTGATAAAGCTCCAAAGAAGAAGAGCCACAAACATAGCCAAGAACATTATCTCAGTAAGTGAGACTATTCCCAATGGTCCCTTCACTAACATTGGCTTTCTCAGAACAGTACTCCACACTCCTCGCTTCGTCTCCCTTTATTATGCAGAAACAAAATGTAAGAAATGATCAAGTTATACAACTTTTTTGTCGACATAATTCACCCGTTGAGTCGATAAGTTTTGTACCTATCGATATTGTGTGGACTCTTTTGTTTCTTGAAGTGGAGGTATACACATCCCAAACAAGCTACGACTATCATTGGGAACATATACATGAAAAGTGTCGTCCCTGTCGTGCAAACAAAGATAAGACGATATTAACAAGTTTTAATCAGTTCTTATTAGAGGTTGTAAATACAAACGGAGGTTTCCTACAAAAAGTATGAGTTAATGGACAATTTAGATGATTAATGGTTCCTTTACTAAAAATTCATGTATTGATCATGCAAACCTGTGGCACCAAAATAAGTTGATGCTCCAAACTTTTTACGCATATAAGGCTGCCACTTGTTTTTATAAGTTAGTGTTGGCATCATGATCCAAAGCATGATAGTTCCAAGGAAAACCAACATCATGAAGAACTTAGTCATCTCCATCCCCTCTCTCTTTCTCTCTCTGTGAATGATTTCTACAAGATAGGGCTTTAGTGAGAAGGATCAGCTACCTTGTTTTGAGGAAAGGAGTGGAGGAGAAAGAGTATATATAAAGAGAATTTTTTGTTAGTGGAATTAGATGCAGTAAGCTAGTTGCATGCTCCATGCATGTCACTTCCCATGGATCTTGTTTTTTGGTTTTCTTTTATTATTTACATCCCTTGTTTGTTTTTTTTTTCTGTGGGAGTGGGGGGGATTTCGAGATGACGTAAAAGGAATGAAGGAATATACTATAACCATATATGTGATCAACAACAGAAAAAATGACAGATAAACGATTTGCGATTTGTACAGCGTGACAACATCGTTATGACACTACTTTAATATGCTAACAAAATTCTTGGAAACCAAATACTTATTTTTTTTACTTGGATGTAGATTCAGATTTGTATTCGAAGATAACCGCATAAACGATATACTTTTTTTTTTTATCATCATACTTAGTTTTTGCTGTTTCAAAAAAAAAAAAAACTTAGTTTTTGCGTTTAAAGGAAACACCCGGAAGATATCAACTAGTTATTAATTTACAAAAAATATATATATATATCAACTAGTTATGCTATTGTTTAATAGTTTTAAAAATTTCATGTGGTACCAAAATTATATGCGGATTATAAAGTATAGAAGAAGAGTTTGACTTGAGAAAGAGCCAAGGATCATGCTTTTTATTGATCATAGCCTATCTGATAATTAAGTAATTTAGTTAAGGCATTGATCCGTCAAAACATGTTCAAATACATTTGAAGTATGACTAGAATTAGTAGAAGTTCATTTTAGTAAGGTATCGCAAGTAAATTAATATTAAGCCACTTGGGTCTAATGGACTCGTGTAGTGCCGAAACTCTACACAAGGTGGACACGAGTGACATGTGGACTGCGAATTTAGCTATTTATTAAATGTTATAGCTATTCTACATTTTCGGATATCAAATGATATAACTAAAATTTTACATTTTGGATATCCATTCGAAATTGAATTCAGATTTAATTAAGATAAAACTTATAATTATAAATATAATAGAACAAGATACATTGTATTCATATGAGATTTGGATCAATTCAATTTTTCTTTAACAGTTTAAATTTTTAGATTCGGTTTATTTATCCAGTTCTACGTACCATTAATATATAACCCCTAATTTGCTTTTCTATCTGTTGATATAATCTGAGAAGAGTATATTGAAGATTGAGAGAGATAAAACATTTGTTCTCTTTCTCTTTTAGAGCAACACATTTATCCTCTTCTTTAATCAAGATATTAAAGAAAACATATTTGTAGAATCAACTGCGGGAAATAATCCAGTAGTTCTAGGTATGAATAACTTAAAATAATATTATACATGCATCAGTTAGGAAATTCCGAAAATAGTTGTTCTCTATAGTTTTGTGTGAAAGTTACACTAAGATGAAGTAGTGAGACGACCAAAAAAAAAAAAAAAAAAAACACTATTTGACAGGGAACTCAACAATTTCATTATCTTCACAAGCTCCAACATCAATCACCATCGTCCCATTCCTTTTCGTAGGCAATATTCTACAACAATCTCTTCTCGGAGCCTAGAAAAAAAAAAGAATCAATAACATCATCATATATAGCAGTAAAAAAAAATACAGTTAATATAGTTACTACTAACCTTATTTTTGTTCCATCTATCGGGATCAAATTTTTTATAAACTATAACCCGTTCGATATCAGAAGGATCCGACATATCCCAGTCACATTCAGGATCCCACATGTCATACCACCTCACGTACTCGCTTGCAGTTCTGTGTAAGGCCGAATCAGGAAGCGCGTTGGAGAGGAAGTACACGCGTGGACGTTGACACATGTTTTTGCTGAAAAGACGTGTGTTAAAGGCATAGCTTTTGTCGTCTCCGCGTTTGTACCAATCTATAAATGTGCGTGTCGGGATCTCCATCTCTCTAGCTGACAATATACCACGTATAATCTGAACTGTGTATCCCCATGAGACAGACACGGTCCAACGGTGTTCAGTGTCATAACAAACTGATTGCTGAGTGAGGCTGGCTGAATCAAGTTTGGCTGGAACCATGAGACGTTTCATGGCGTTGACTCGGCCCATGTTTGGGAATACTGGATCCACTATGTCTAGATGATGCATGGAGACAATTGGGGCTAATGGATGGGCTGATAACAGGCCCAGGAGTTTCCCATATAAATCAAACTGTTGCATCATTAATTAACAAAAATAAAAATATCGTGAGTAAACCTATGCAGATCGATAAACAAGGGAACAAAGATTCCGAATATCGAAATACTTGATATTATTTTATGATTTAATTAGAATCAGATTTGGTTTAAGATATTAGTAGATCTATCGTAAAAAATTAACAAAAAGCTGTATGAATAATTGTAAATGTGCAGAGGAATGTAAGATTAACACGTAGCTAACAACTAACTATAAATTTGACTAGAAGTACAGAGGCTTTTAGTGGTAGCAATGACTTATGTGAGACTAGAACCTATATTTGTGCCGAAATTGTCGTGATAATAAAATCACTTATATTTAAAGGTATTGTGCACTTTTTAAAAGAAAAAAAATATAAATCATGATTCAAGTTTCTAACATAAAAAAAAAAACTAAAAACTAACCAAATGTAACATAAAAATGACTATGACCGTAACAGTTTTCACACTTTCAAACTTCACTAGTGTTAGTAGTATACACGGATATTAATAAAAAAAATATAACAGATTTTAAAATAATTAAATGAAATTTAGGTTAGAATCGTGTGTTTTTAATAAACAAACCGAAAATCATAATATTGGTAGAAAAAAACTGCAAATATGGTTGTAGATAAAAATAAAAATTGCAGTAGAGGAAAGATCTTCAAAAGGAGAAGAGTATCTCATGTAGTTTGAATTATATAATAATATATTAAATAAAAAGATACACATACCAAAAAAAACAAAGGAGAGGAGGACGAACCTGATGAAACCCAACTTCTCTAGTCAAAGGAACACCAAGCTCCGCCATACAAGCATGAATCCGATCATCGGAGCCGTACAATTCGGGGTATCTCTGAATACAACGATCTTGCATCTTCTCCAACGCCTTAGCCAAAGGGTAGCTAATGGCGAATCCTCCTCCACCATAAGCCATCCCGTAAGAGAATTTAAGATTCTGAATGTGACTCTCCGAGGAGCTTCCAATGTAATAGAACTGCTTGTGATCGTATTTTCTAAGAACCCTAACGAGATTCTCCGTGAAAAACACGGTGTCATCGTCTCCCATCACAATCCACCTCACGTTTTTCTCAGACTCTGTTCCGTTTAATAGCCTCACTGTCTCCGACACGATCCGTGTGAGTCTGAGCGCTGCTCGGTTGCCCTTTGGGTATTTGTAGTTGAACCTTGTCGTGTCCGAAGATATTTGGATAGGTGGCAAACCTGTGTCGTTAACGTCAATGTGTTTGTCTAACCAAACGACACCGTTCATTTCTCCGTTGGGTTTCCACCAGAGCTTCACGTAGTCTCTTCTGTGTTTCCACAGCTTCGCAGACGCAGCGATCCCGAAGACTACGTGCTTTATCTCCGTTGTTTCTTCCGGTTTTGGACTCGTGTAAGATCCGGATTCGGATCCGAGGGGTGAAACAGCGATTTTCATGAGAGATCGAGGTGGAGTGTAGGAGGTGAAATCAAAAGAGTAGAAAACGAATTGGATGCAGAATATAACGGCGAAAGTTAAGACTAGCTTGGAGATAAGCCTAAACAAAGACGAAGAATGTGAGTTACATGAAAACGTTTTGGATTTCTCGTAAGAAAATGGCTTTTGATCTCTCTTATCCTCTGCCATGGCTGAAAATAAAAGAGGGGGTTTGGTTTTCTACCCACCGGAGCAGTGGGGAAAGACTACGTTGGATACTGCTGGTGATGATATTTTATAAAGAACCTAGCTAGCTAGCTCTTCTTATAACGGAGATATGGAGAAAATAAAACGGTTTTTATTTTGCTTTTATTTATACTATCGTTACTCTTTTTTTGTCTTTATCCTATGAAAATGGATATTATGGATTCCTTTGTTCCTGTGACCCATTAATTTATTTTTATTTTTTATGAAACTCATTATATATATTAATCTCCTTAGACAGGTGTATTTTGCATATATGTATTTGTAAACTTGGTAAGTTATCATATGATTATTTGGGATTGAATGTATCGATTACTACCGGTCAAAACTGCTATATCAGGATACTCGATGACTACGTACTTTTCGTGATCACTTTTTTTTGTTTTTATTGTGCTTGATCATAATAAGTTAGGTAGATATATAATCAAGATTCCATTTGGTAAATACCAATTACATTTTTTTATTCTTTCCCAAATTAGAGTTTGATTTAAGTATTAAAAATGGATGATAAAATAAATATAAACAAAATAACTAAATTTGTATGTTTTATATATTTCATAAACTAAGAATAGTAATTATTTTTTTAAAAAATAGAAATTATCATTCTTCCTAAATACCCTTAACTTCTTCAACTTCAAGATCTACTCAAATCTCATATATTTTTGGATTTAGTATTCATTTAAAATCTTCTAAATATTAATTCAATGAACCTATTAAATATTAAAATATGTAAACCTATTAATGTAATAATATTTTTTCTTTACTGTTATTCTGGAGAACTGAATTTTCTCTTTTGGAGTAATGAGAACAAAACATATTTGAGAAATTTATAAATCTTGAGTGGTATCAAATTTTATATGATACTTTTCCTTTACATATATCATCGGTTGAAGCATGTTTTTTTTTTAAATAACATTCTTTTGACCAAAAAAAAAAGGTTTAAAAGAAATATATACCAAATTTTAGTGCTCTCCCTAATGAGGAAATATAAATAGTATAAGAAACTCTTCCATCTAGAAATCCATTCAAAACCAAATAAACATACTATCATCTTTCAAAAACCCTCAACTTATTCTTTTACTATGTAATCGATCGTAGTTAACTTGCTTTTGTTTCTAAAGTCTAACCAATATCACTTTTCGTAATTAACCAATAATTTAGTTAGGTGGGGTATATTTCAACTGTTCCCGCACAACCTGCCTCATTTTCGTGATATGTTTTATTTAGGCAGTACCATACTCTTATTTACCCAGACCATAAGGTCCATAACTTCCCTCATATTCGTGCTATGTTTTTAATTTTATAGACTTGATATTTTTTATTTCATATGATTTAACAGTCTTTCATGTGTAATTCTATTATGACAAAACAAAATGAGTTAACGGAGTCACTAGTAATTGCAATATCGAGTTAAGAATATTAGATGCTCTTATTTCTTCTACAAAATGGTGGCTAAGGGGGTAACTGTTGGAAGTACATCTCAACAATTTGTAGAACATTATTATAGAGCTTTATAGATATGTTGATAAAACCTTTTCTTATACAAATATTAGTTTCACTGCGTCTCATACAAACGACCACAATATCACAAGCACCTAATAATAATAATACATTCAGGACCAAGATGGAACAACACTTATAATAATACCATCTATTCACACAAGAGCAGTTTATCAGAATCCTCTTTGCTTTTTTCCGGCAGCCTTTTTTGGCGATGTTGCCAGTACCAACGTTGGTGCGCCAATCGACCTGAGATTCTCCAGCAAAGTGTCTCGCCCCGATAACAGAATCTTGAAGAAGCAATCCACCTCCTTGGAGACAAGGTCTATCCCATTCGTTAACTCTGTGACCGACCCCTTCAGTGACTGCAGCGAGATGGGATCTACCGACCCTTGTTGGATCTCAGGGGCAAGTTTCTTAACACCTGAGTCAACAGCCTCAAGCTCTTTCAGAACGGTTAACCCGTCTGATAAAAATATGCTCTTCATTTCTGAGTTCATTGTGTTCTGCATATCCATGAAGGACTGTGCCCATGGAAGCTCGTTTGAGACCGTAACGTACAGCAGATTCTGCGATGAGCCTGAGAAGGCAGCAGCGAAAACACCGGAAATGTACAAAGTCTTGACCTTAACACCGTACAAGGCTCGCATCAAGACTTTCCCCTTGGCAGAGTTTTTCACCTTGGGGAGATTCAAGGTTTGAACAAGACTGGTCAAGATTGCATGACAACTCTCCAACCTCGGGTTCTTGGAAACGATGTGTTGCTTCCAGCTGTCGAGGGATGATTGTGCTTTCGGAGCGTTAGTCTCCAAGCTATGGAGAGCATACTGGAGGAAGAGATGGCCTTGGTTGAGGCGGGATAGCTCAGAGCTAAAGGCGTTGCAGAGGTCAAGGAGCTTGACGCTGATGTCAAGGTAGACATCGACCCATTTGTCCTCCCAATCTGAGACAGGGAGCTCTAGATCGGTTATAAGAGTCTTGATAGCATTGTGGGTCTGGCAAAGAGATTCCATTGCTTGCTTCATCCATGAAAGAGTCAGGATTTGAGACTTTTCCTTGGGGACAAGCTTTGTGATGGAAGAAGCTAAGTTGGTCTCGAAAGTGTTCAAGAGGGAGAGAAGCTTTGGGGATAGGGAAGGGTTCTTGGAAGAGAGGTTGTTCTTCTTGAAGGGGTTACCAAAAGGGAAGAAACCGCGTGGAGGGTCTTGTGGACGAGCCATTTTGGTTAAGTTTCAACTGCAACAAAAGAAGAGCAAAGATCTATCATTATATATCATACAATAAAAATAAAAATAAATAAATATTGAATCCACAACAAATCAAACAACACAAAGAGCAATTTCTCTGTGAAAGTTTTTTTAATAATTTTTTCGATATATTTCATCCTCAAAAGATATCAAAACAAAGGTCAAAGAACAAACAGATAGATGCAACAAAAAGCCTCGGCAGATCTTCTTCTAGCCTTGTGTGAAGAAGAAGAAAAGTTAACAAATCAAATAGATCCATCCATGAGTGAGTCAACCAACCCCTGAAGGAGAGAGGGAAGGAACTATCTCTCTTTAACATACAAATCAATTTTGTATATCTTAAAGATCTGAATTCACATATCGAAATTCACACAGAAATATAGATCTAAATCTAACATGATAGTTACCGTAGACAAAACACTATGAAAAGAGGAAAGACTAATCAGAACTTACATAAAGAGAGAGATAGATCCTTCCCTGGAAGAAGAAGAAGAAGAAGAGTTAGCTTAACTCCTGAAACTGGGATTCACCTGATACAAGTTTGTTTCTCTACAAGAGAGAGAGAGAGAGAGAGAGAGAAATCAGAGATGGAAAATATCAAAAAAGCAAACGGAGACAAGACAAGATCAACGGTCGGCGTGTTCTTACCGAAAGAGTAATAAAAAAAACAATAAGTGGGGGGGGGGGGGATCAGAGAAATTTCAAGGAAAAGATAAGAAGGGCGTTGGTGTTATATGACTAAAAACCACAAGCAGCTTGGTAGGTTGCCGTGTTTCTCCAGATTATCAAAGAAAACAATGTTTTTCTTCTTTTTTTTTAGGTTTGACGTTGATTTGGTAGACGAAAGAGAGAGGAAGGGGGAGATTATGTTTGAGTTACGGGGCTGTGATAAAAAAACCAAGAGCTTTTAAATGACCGACCGATGAATTAATGAATGAAGGCGTGTACGTGTTTCTTTTCTAGGTAGGAACGCACATTCTCTACTTGTCTACTTGTTGCGTTACTGTATAAAACAGAGACAAAGTCAATTCTAGCCAGCTCCAGATTATTAATTATTATTCTTCCCTCTCATGATCCATCGGCTCTAAAGAATAACATTGTCAATCCAATCACTCCATTAAGCCTTTTTTGTGGTCTATTATTTTCTCCTACCTAAATCATTTGAAATTGTATTTACTATTAAGTGCCTTGGAAAATTAATTAGTTCATGATTTTAAAAATTGTATTACTAATGAGCCTTGGAAAAACAGAAAAAAAAAACATACTTAAAAATATAAAAGTAATATATTGGTTAGTGAAATTTATACTTTAGATATGTTTTTCTTTGTCAGCAAACAACATTTAAAAGGTGCATGTATATTTGCTTAAAAAAAAAAAGGTGCGTGTATACATTACATTTTGAGTTTTTGACGTTTGTGTACGCGATAGATAGATACATGCATTTTTTTCTCTTTTTTTACTCTTACAAAAACTTTGTTAGGATGGCCTAGTTTTCTTTAAGAAATATACATGTATCAGAAGATGGAATGACTTAGTGAAGTTTCTTATTTGATATTTTCTTTTACCCTTTATACAAAAGATATTACTTTCTGTGCCTACCTCTTAGTTTTTCTCCTACACGTGAAGAAACTCCAGTCGTCGGTCGGGTGACGACTCACGAGTGTGCAATTAGCTTGTGTTCACAAGCTAATTATTCAATTTTAAACCTATTTTAAATTCTTGCAACTTGGGAGATTTTCAAGATAATAATCACACATACATAAATAGAGGTCCATAATCCATACATGACGCTACTTGAAATGTTTTAAAAACACAATCACGCGAGCTTAAAGCATCCATGTGGGTCCATTCTGCACCCATACCGGTTCTTAAAGCGATAAGTTTTGATCCATCCACCAATCGTGTTATGCAACGGCATGAACGTAGCGTCGAGGTTGGTCCAAAAAATATTTATGTCATTTCATTATGCATGTACGTTTTAAAACAAAAATATAACAAAATGTGGGTTAAGCTATGAAAAAATGGAGTTTCCAATAAATAATATATCTACTAAAGCTTAATTTTTTTTGTGTTACTTTAAAATAATTAACTATACTCAAAATTTATATCAGTTTACGCTAAATTTATTTTCACGGTATACGACATCATTTCTAATTTTTCAACAAGTAAATTATTTAAACTTTTAATACAATATAATATGTGAAGTAACTCCTATAAAATGGACTATGGTCCTTACAAATTGATTCTAATAATTCACATATGTATGATATAATTAGGCTGTAATTCAATTTGAATGTGGTTTGTACTAGGTCGGACCCATAAAAGCTAGCTAACCACCTTAGATTAGCTTAGGACATGATTATCTACAGAAATCCATTAATATTTCTTAATAATTATTTAAATATATAAATATATTAAAGTAGACTTAAGAAACTTTGTTAAGAAACTATCCAATTTTATTTCTCCAATAGTAGTTTCTTAATTAAAAATTCTTAAAAAAATTTTACAATCTACAAGTCTCAAGATCGCCTACCTTGTAGAGAGGAATGCCACTAACAACGTTTCCAGCCTTGCAGACAGCAAGAGACACAACAAGGATAGCATTGGCTCCAAGCTGTGAAACAAAAAGAAAAGTAAAAAAGATGGTCAGAGACTCGTTTATCATTACTGTGTGAATAAACAACATGAATTTTTTTTTAATATTCTTTCATGCTCTCATCCAACGGCTGAACCTTCTCTTGACAATGCAATCACCTATTAGTTAGCTTTTGTGGTCTATTATTTTCTTCTACATAAATCATTTGATTAATTTTTTTAGAATAACCTTTTCTAATCATAGATTTCCCTTTTCCCCAAATTAACCATGGGGAGATATAAAAGTTTTTGTAAATGACATTTCCAAAGGCCTGCAATGAAATTTTGCGTTTCTGTTTATTTTTTAAAGTAATTGTATTACTAATAAGAGCCTTGGAAAAACAGAACAAAAACTTACAATATAAAAAGAATATGTTGGTTGCTGAAAATTACTATTATTATATGTTGTTTTGTCAGCAAACACCATTTAAAAGGGGCATGTATACATACATTTTGAGTTTTTGACGTTTTCGTATACATGCATTTTACTCTCTCCTTTTCTAATACTCAATACAAAAAGCTTTGTCAGGATGACTTAGTTTTCTTTAAGAAATATTCATGTATCAGAAAATGGAATGATTTATGGAAATTATAAACATTCGCATTTGATATTTTATTTCACCCATAATAGAAAAATATTACTTGTATGTCATCTACCTTTTATCCTACCCATGAAGAGACTCCAGTCGTCGCTTGGGCGATGACTATGCACTTATCTTGAATATTATCGTGATTTTTAACCTTGTTTATGATCTTTTCTTTTAGATTTGTAATCTATCCTGATTGATCCACTTTTATTTTTACATAGAATCCATTTTTTTATATGTAATCTGCATAGGTTTTATGGTTCTCAGCGTATTTGATATTTATAGAGATTGGTGAATCAACCTACCAATCAAAAACTCTTCAAGACTCAAAGTTTTAACATTATCACTTCAAACATCATTCATCATCACTTAAAACTTCATTAACTCTTCAAGACTCAAAGTTTCAAACATCAAAAACATCAAAAACTCTTCAAGACTCAAAGTTTCAAGACTCAAACCTCACTCATCCTTCAAACATCTCCTCAAAGTAGTATAGGGAGAATGCCACTCTAACGCCCCACTGATGGGCCAAAAGAGCGGGTCTCCTGACCGTCAATCTCTTCAAGACCAACAATGATGGTGGTGGAGCGAGATGGCCGACAACAAGACCGTCACCGACAACGAGACCATCACCGTTGATGAAAAGTCTCCCAACAGCTTTTCTTGCGTTGAAGACCAATACACCATCCGTAACTCGGCGACCTATGCTTGTCAACGCGGGACACCAAAGGTTTCGATCCCCCATGTGGCTGTTATCCACTCTCCACATTCCTGCATACAAACATCAAATGAGAAAAAACTATTGAGTATACATAAGACATGATCATAAGATAAAAGGGAAAATTGCATTAAAAATCATGAAGTTGGCAAAAGTTTACACTTTAAACCTTAAGGCTCAACTACTAACACTTTAAACAATGAAACTTATACTAATAACATATTAAACATCAAACTAACTTACTTGTTGCACACGTAAAAATTGTGAACTATTACTGTTCACTAGCGGGTACAAAATGGTGATGTGGCGGTTTAATTTTTTAAAAAAATAAAAAAAAAATTAGATAAAAATTAAAAAAAAAATTGATATAAATTCAGGAAAAAATAAGAAAATAAATAAAATTCAGAAATTTTACAAAATAAAAATAAATTTATAAATTTAAAAGTTTATAATAAAAATAAAAATAAATAGTAAAAATCGATTAAAACTAACAAAATAGTAAAAATAATAAAAAGAAAAATTAAAAAAAATGTAAAATCGATAAAAAAAATAGAAAATAGGAAGTTATAAAAAGCTGGAAAACAAAAAAAAAATTCAAATATCAAAATATTAAAATTGAAAATGAAAAGTACTTGACCCAAACCTCTTTGGTGTTTAGGTAGACATATAAACGTTCAGATGTCCGGGTTCAGATCCTTCTCCTAGAGATTTGGATTCAAAACTTTTGCCAATTTCATGGGTTTTTGCCAATTTTTCCACTTTTATGGTTTTCTTTTTTTTTTCCATATATTTTTCTTAATTTTTAATCAATTTGTATAATTTATTTTGGTTATTATTATTTTTTTCTTGAATTCATAAATTTATTTTTTCTTGATATTTATTAGTTTTCAATTTCAGCATTTTATATTTTTGAATTTTTGAATTTTTATTTTCCTTGATTTTATCAAAATTTCCTAATTTTTATCGATCGTTTTGAATTTTTTTAATTTTAATTTTATTTTTGAAGTTTTATTTTTCCAAATTTTTATAAATTTCCTGTTTTCTAATTTTTATCGATTTTTACAATTTTTTAATTTCTATTTTTTTATTATTTTTACTCTTTTGTTACTTATAATCGATTTTTACTATTTATTTTTATTATAAACTTTTGAATTTATAAATTTATTTTTATTTTTTTAATTGCTGAATTTATTTATTTTCTTTATTTTTGCTGAATTTATATCAATTTTTTAAATTTTATTTATTTTTTTATCTAATTTTTTTTTGTTTTTATTATTATTTTTTTAAATAAACCGCCACATCACCATTTTTTACCCGCTAGTGAACAGTAACAGGTCACAATTTTTACGTAGGCAACAAGTAAGTTAGTTCAATGTTTAATATGTTATTGTTACAAGTTTCATTGTTTCAAGTGTTAGCAGTTGAGTCTTAAGGTTTAAAGTGCAAATTTTTGCCAACTTCATGATTTTTTATGCAATTTTTCCTAAGATAAAATGTGGGTTAAGCTATGAAAAAAATGGAGTTTTCAATAAATAATATATCTACTAAAGCTTAATTTTTTAGTGTTATTTTAAAATAACTAACTTCACTCAAAATTTATATCAGTTTACGCTAAATTTATTTTCACGGTATATGACATCATTTCTAATTTTTCAAAAAGTAAATTTATTTAAACTTTAAATACAATATAATCTGTGAAGTAACTCCTATAAAAAATTATATTTCTTGAGAAATAGAAATACATATTTCATCAAACCTTTTTAATTTCCGAACAAAATTTAAGTTCATCCCATAATGTGAACCTTTAAATTCACTTCTCCTTCTATAACCAATCAAATTGCCACGTATATTATTTAATAAAAATACGAAAATAAATAAAAAATAGTTAAAAATATTAATAGCATCAATTTTAGTGATGTTAACGCCGCCAACAAAACCTTAAACCCCAAATCTTAAATTCTAAACCTTATATTATATACTCTAAACCCAAATCCTAGATCCTAAACTCAAATCCTCTACCGTAAACCAAATTGTATATCTTAAACTTAAAACCTAGACAATAAACCCAAATTATAAATCCAACCATATACCTTAAACCTAAATTATATACGCTAAATTCTAACTGTAAACCCTAAATTTAAACTGAAAACTTTAAATCCAAACCATATAGTGTCTATGTTTAGAGTTTATGTATAGGATTTAAAATTTGGCTTTAAGATTTAGGATTTGGATTTAGGGTATATATTTTGGGTTTAGAGTTTAGGTTTTGAGTTTAGGATATATTGTTTGGATTTAGAGTATACGGTTTAGGATTTGAGTTAAGAGTTTAAGATTTAGGGTTAAGGGTTTAGGATTCAGGTTTAAGGTTTATGGTTTGAATTTAGAACCTAGATTTAATGTTTAGAATTTAATATTTAGAGTTTAGGATTTAGTTGGCGGTGTTTATGTCGCTAAAATTGACATTATTATTTTTGTAACTATTTTTTATTTTATTTAATATTTTTTGTTTGCTAATTTACATGTTATTTTGATTAGTCATTGATAGAGAGATAAAATTTCTAGAGGTGAATCTAAGTTTAGTTTTGTTCTTAATTTGCATACTATGTTAGCGTTTTGATGCATCTATTCATTAAAAAAAATCTTTTATAAGCACATCACTAGTCACATAATGAATTATTCTTCGTTATGAAAAGGGTTATATAATTTGTATATAAAACATTTATTCCCCATGAGGCGCAGATTTTAATCTTATAATATATGACATGTGATCGTCGACAAAAGATTACAAAGAGGAAAAACAAAAACAAAAAGGGTTAATTAGACGTAACTCAAGAGCAAAAGAATGAAAAATATTTATGTAAGTGAATGTGAGACAATAATAATAATAAGAATCAATTGAAATGGAAAGGGTGGCGTGTGAGAAGCAAAGTCACTTAAAGGGACCTAATAAGTGATCCTTTTTCATCTTAGCTTTTGCTGATGAGGATGCCGTGAACCGCTCTCCCCGCTTTCACTGGCCGCTGTCTCTTGCTTATCGCGGCTTCCATGGTCCCTAGTTGTTCGACGTTCCTGGCAAAAAAACATGGTCCCACCATTCATTATACATTAATATTTTAGCTAGTAAAGAAATTAATGTAGAGACAACAACAAAAAAATGGTTACATCGCGATAGAGGGAGTCTTCAGCTTCAAGCATATGAATGATATGTCCCATTTTAGGTCGCTTGTTAGCATCAGGATCCACACAACGCAAAGCAACGAGCAAAACTCGTTTAAGAGCCTTTGAGGATGGTGGTTCCGCTATTTTGGGATCAACTACTTCTTCTGATCTTCTGTTTCCTACCATTGTTTTCAGCCAGTCAACTAGATTCGTCTATAAAAAAAGTCCACACACACACACACAATAAGAAGAAGAAGAAAACATGTATGAAAAAACTTTTAAAAAAAACAAGGAGGCAGGGTCTAAAAAAAAGTCGACAAAATAAAACACATAACATACCTCGCCTTGAGGGCGACTATAATCAACAGGGTTTCTACCAGTGATGATCTCCATGATTAATATTCCAAAGCTGTAGATGTCACTCTTCTCGTTTAACATTCCGGTGCATGCATACTCGGGTGCTACATAACTGAACAAAAGTAGAAGAAGTTATTTAAACTAGAGATTCAGATTCCTATAGCATGATATAACAGGAGAGAGAGAGAGAGAGGATTTGTACCCGAAGGTTCCCATGACACGGGTGGTCACATAACTGCTGTCGGAACCCAAGAGCTTAGCAAGTCCAAAATCCGAAACCTTTGCATTCCATTGGCGATCAAGTAATATATTCCCCGATTTTATATCCCGGTGAACCACTTTTGGTTCAAGACCTTCGTGTAGATACGCCAATCTACACACCAAAGATTTATTTACAATGTTACTACGAAGAGATGAATCTATTTCTTTAAAATATTTATCAAAGAATATATATAAAAATACCCTTTAGCCATGCCAAGTATGATGTTGATACGGATATCCCAAGTAAGAGGGCTGACATCACCAACATCACCGTGAAGCCATTGCTCCAAATTACCATTATCCACAAAGTCATACACCAGCATCCTATTATAAGTAGACAATTGATTTCTTCTTCTGTTTCAACCCAAAAGAAAAAAAAAAGGAAGGAAGGAAGGAGCATGATGATTATTATACCTGTAAGCTCCTTCAACGCAATAACCTAAAAGCCTAACGAGATTCTTGTGTCGAACACGCCCAATCACTTCCACTTCTACTTTGAACTCCTTCTCTGCCTGTCCCCTATAAGTTAAAAAAAGACGCACCCAACTTCAAAATCTTACATGCAATTTCTTAATAGTAGGATATACAAAATACACATGTGACCGACCAATACGAGCAGTGAAACAACTTAAAACCAATATAGAACCCCTAAATCCTCCTAATACAGTAAAGGATGAATTAACTAACCTGTTATTAAGTAAGTTCTTGACGGCGACTTTGGTACCGTCAGTTAAAACGCCACGATACACAATCCCGTAACCTCCTTCTCCTATTACATTCTCTTCACACAGCCCATTCGTCGCCGCCTCAAGCTCCCTCAGCGTATACCACCTTCCCCACCCCAGATGCGAAACCTCAGGCCCCACGTTGTTCCCGCTCCCTGAAAACGACGCCGTCTCGCTGGCACTCGCAGCCGTTCCTCTGCTCTCCCCACTCGACGAGAACACCACTCTATGCTCCATCTTCCCTATATCCACCTGGATCTCCGCCGGAACGATCTCCTTTATCTCCTTCGATATCGGAGGCGTTGCGACGGCGGCGGCGGAGGCGAAATCGGCTCCTCTCGGTTTGGTGCGGTTTTTGCGGCGAGAGGAGGTTAGGCAGAGGGAGAGGAGGAAGAGGGCGATGACTATTAGAGATCCGAGTAAGATTCCGATTACAACCCATAGCCTGAGGCCGAAGATCGACGTCGGTTTAGACAGCTCCGTGTTGACGTAAGCAGGATCCAACACCGACATCTCAGATTATTCCGCCTGATAATAATAATCTCACCGCATCGAGTGTTGCTCAATCGATATCAAAGGAATCTAGCAACAAATAACAGGAAGATTATTATTTACTATTAAATAAATAAAAGGGAGTTTAAAGAAGAGGGCTTTCAGTGAACTGTGTTTTGTTGTGGATGGATGAGCTGTCTTTTTTTTTTTTTTGAGTTTCTGTCTCCATGTAATTATGTATCTCTGGTCTGACGGTGAGACTGGTTTCTTTCAAATGACCTTCTTACCCTTCTCGAGTGGTGGAATGAGAACGCTCTAGCTTCCAAGGGGTTTTACTTTTGGGTAAATGCATCATCAATCAATGACGACGTGACGAAGCGATAGATAGCCGTTAAGTGTCCTTATGGTGAGGTACGGTTCAGTGCAGTGTTCAGTCTGTGGAGTTACCAGTCTGGACATTAACATTTGCGTAATTGTTGGCACCTTTTATGCCATAATTCGTTTGCCGATTTGCTCTTATAACTTAGCAGTGGATTAAGAGAATAACTTTTCGGTGTGGGTGGCATCGAATATTTTAGGTTGCCTCCTAAAAAAAGGTGGGGCTAAAGAAACAAAACCCATTATCGCTCTATCATATTCAATTATTCCATACCAACCAATTAGTGTTAAATAAATTAATATTTTCAACAAGTCATTACCTTCACTTTTTTATATAACAAAATTATCATATATATTGACTAAAATCATGAGTTATGCTGGTAAGTAGGCCAAATCTATCATATGATGAGAATGACTGATGGTGATTTCCGCAAATAGAATTAAATGAAAAGTGCCATATGAGGAAGAAAACAATTAAGAAAAATACATTATAAATCGAGTACATTGAAGACCTGCCCCTATCTTCCAAATAACTAATAAATCATCGATCTCATGAAAAATGGGCTATGGCCCGTACGAATTGATTCGAATAGTTTCTCTATGTATGACATAATTCGGCTGTAATTCAATTTGAATATGGTTTGTACTAGGCCGGACCCATAATATAAAAGCTAACCACTTTAGCTTAGCTTTCTCTATCTTCTTCGTTTTATATGAACCATGTTCAAAAAAATAAAAATCCTATGCATGCACTCTTATACATGCGAAAGAGTGCATGCATGTTCTTTACCAGCACTAAGAGGCATGGAACACAATGGACTATGGAGTATTACAGTCATGGGCTGATCACATGCCCAATATCCAGAGAATAATCTCATTAGTATATTAAACCCTTTTCTATATAGCCCATTTTAATTCAGTTATTCTTTGTGATGTTTTAGTAGGGTTAATTCACTTATAACAACAACGTGAAACATAAAAACACACATGAGGCAAAACCAGGAACGTCGTAGTCCATTCCATATTTCCATATATTAGAAAAACACACACACACTTAAAAGAGTGGCGACGGGATATGATAAAGCAAACGCTAACTTATTACAGTATATCTTTCTACGCAGTGGCTTTATCCAACTCCTAAGTAGATCAAAATACTCAAAAACTCTTCACGACTTTGTATGTACAAGTAAAACCGCCTCACTCATTTGGTTAATGAGAGCTCACCACGCGAAAGCCTAGGCAATGGCATAGAGAGAAAGATAGCAGCAGTGTTCATTTCCTCTCTTCTCACTGTACCCTAACCTATGTCTCTATTCACCCCTTGTATGATGATATTAACCTCCGCTGTATAAAAAGAAAACAGAGAGCAAACATGCCCGTAAGCCCATCAAGAACGAAGATCTACATAAATCTTATGAAGTAATAATGAGTACTAACACTTACTTGTTCTTCAAACCCGGGGCTTGTCAGGTTTACAGACAAATTTCTCATCAATACGAGGACCTGATGAGCAAAGACATTGTTAAATGACATTTAAGATATGTGTTGGAGTTGATGATGATTTTCACATACCGTTTCAAGATTGATTGGATCCATTTGCTTTAACCTCTGGCCATGACCCGTTGTTTCTGGATCAAATACACTTCCTATAAAGCTGTAAACTTCAGCGAAATTTGGCATCACTGTGTTGAAAGAACACAAACTCAGTAATCAGCACATATTGCAGACAAGATCAATAATCATCATCATATATATATATATAGATAGCAAACAGAGGTAGGATCTTAGTACCTCTGTGAGTCTGTTCACAACATCGTTGGTCACTTGTCTCTGTAACGTTTCTCTTCCTCTGCTGCTTATCTCTAATACTACTACCACTAGTGCTGCAACAGTTCTCCGCGACACCCAATTCCTCTACAAATCACAGAAATTCATTTCTCTGATAATGATTTAACAGCTAAAAATAAAAAGTTGGGATAATTACGTCAGCAAATTTAAAACAAACATATAATAGTATTACCTTTGATAATGGGAACTGGACGCACTAATCGATGATTAGGAGTAGTAGTAGTCACCACTGGTTGTGGATCAGCGGTGTACAAGTACTCATGTTCAAGCAATGCGTTTGAAGATGTAAGAAGAGCTACTGCACACACACACAAAAAAAAAGTAAAAAGAAAATCAGATCGAAGATTTAAAGAGAGAAGCAGCAGAGTCGGAAGATAAGAAGCCAAGTAAAATAAAGGGAACTAATTAATAATACCACTTTTGGAAGCCTTTTGGGGATAAGGATGATTAGCTTTCCTCTTTGGGCGAGGAGGTGGAAGATGTTCATTAGTCCCATTCTTCTGAACCTTTAGAAAGTACTTCTGCGCGTGGCTCCGTATCTACAAAGATATTCAAAAAAAAAAAAAAACTCAGAGTTCGTTAAAAAACAAATAAGCTCTGCTGCTATGTAAATATACATCAACAGGAATTTCAGAAATCTCTTCTCTCTCTATATATATATGTAATTGATTCTCAGAAAATTTAATGATGGTAAAATGAAAATGGAATGTAATTATGATGAAGACATATTCTTTAATACCTGGATAACTGTTTTTGATCCAACAAAGGCTTCGATTTTCTTCCAATCACGGTCAAACCTGTAATCAGTCATTCAGTCAGTAGAGAGAGAGTTGCTGAGTTTACTTACCATAAAAGAAAGAAGAAGAAGAAAGAGAGAGATAAAGAGAGAAGTCGTTTGGCATACAGATGGAGAGCTTCAATGAACTTGTCGTGTTCCTGTTCCGTCCAGTTCTCTCTTGATTTGGTGATAGTGTAAGGCTTTCTAATCTTCTTTGTTGTATCCTCACAAAACGACATCGTATGGCTCCGGCCAGAAACAGGCATCGTTGTCGCCGGCGGCATCGTGTGGGGAAGAGTAGTACTGAAACCCGGTGAATTCATCATATTCATGGTGGAACCAGATGAGAGTGACTGAGACCATAAAACTCGGAACCAAAGTCTGAAAGTGTTCTCTTGACTTTGCGCTGCTGCTAAGCGAATGTTGTACTTGCTTTTCACTATACAGTGGGAGAAGAAGAGAAGAGAAGAGGTAGATATAAAGGGAAATAATATTTTAGCCGAACACGTGTAAGGAGCCAGTTGCTCTGGTTCCACAGCGTGTGACTATCATCTTCAAGACATGTGGACACCCATCTGCTTACACTGACGTCACTATAAATAATAAAATAAAAAAGCAAAGCCTATCGTCGGCTCATAAGGCGTCACGTGGTTGACGACGGCAATCAGTTAAATAGTCGTTACCGCGATTCAGCGCCGAAACTGATTGTTGCTGTGTCTTCTTCCTTCAATAAAAAAAGTTTTTCATTTGTGGTTTTAGTTCAAACTTTCAAACCAGTCATGAGATAGATGGTTTCTTCTTTCTGGAACACCAAACTCAGAGCATAAACATCTATTCTATATCCTAACACTAAACAACAACACATATCTTACCTTTCTTTTTAAGTTCAAAAACAAAAACAACAGAAACATCAATCTAAGAATTTTAGCTTATCGGATAATTCCGCAAACCGAATAAAAAAGAAGAGGTTAGGAACAAATAATACACACACATTACAGATGAAGAAAAATATAATAAGGTTGGTTGATACGAATCAGACAACACGACACCCGATCGTAAACAACAAAAATGCCAATCCTACAGACTTGCGAAACAAAACAAAAAAACATAGGAGAGAACCTCACATAAGAAGAAGAAAACTCTGGTTTCTTCCCTCTTTTGTTTTTCTCAATCGACCCAACGTGTGACGCCATCGTCTCCGACCATCGCCAGAATCTCCACACGCACCTCCAAACTCGCCTACAACAATTATTTTAAACATTTACAGATACAAACACACATATGGTTTTTCCATTATGTGTATTGAAAGGTGGTGTGACATAGAGACTTACAGAAGAATTCCTACAGTTGACAAGCCTGCATTCGTCCAAAGAACCTTCTAGACTCCAACTCTCCCACACGTCAAAACTGTGGCTCGCAAACACAAACTCCATCCTTCTATTGATCTGCACATAACGGAGTTTTACTCTTTTTTCTTGAGCATTCAACACTTTGAGTTTTAACCAATTCACGTAACTGTTAAATGTAAAAGAGGTACCTGCAATAACTTCCCACCCGCAGCAAATGATCTCAGACCCACAGTGTCCTGGAGAATAAACAAGTTCATACACCAGTACCAATTACCCATTCATAAGAATATATATATAAAGAAGAGGAAAAAAAAAAAAGAAGAATTTACCTTGTTTCTGTAAGCGATAATGAATTGTGCAGCCGGATCTCGTTTGGACACATTTGACAAAGTATCGAGGAACCAACCACCGTTTTTCGTTCTTTGCCTTGAAACATGCAGACCCGAGAGATCTTTTGCATACATGGCTATCACATATCCATCTTTCAGTAGCTCACTTGATTTTCCGACGAACTTCTTGCTTGACCTTACAAGCTGGTTTTGAGAAGACTGTTGCATGACTTCAAGTGGTGTTTTCCTGCTTCTTGAATCCTCAGGGGAAACACATCTAGAGCTGGAACTCAGTATTTCTTCACTGTCACTCATAGCAATATCATCTCTTCGTGAAGTACTACTTTCTTCATGTAGTCCTGAGGAACCCTCTCCTCTATGCATGTACTTTTGCTGTGAATGCCTCTTTTTGGCTTTCTTACCGGATCTGCTGCGTCTTACTTCAGGTTTTACCGCAGCGTTATGCTGAACAGGGCTCAGAGATTCCTTAAACTCACTAGCCTCTACAGGAACGATGTCGGTGCTGGTGAGAGTACTTTCCACCTGCTGCCTACTGGTGGATTCCACTAGTGCTAATTTGTCATGTCTGATAGGTGATACTTCTTCATCACTTGCTTCACTTTCCTCAACTTCCTCATCAGAAACAGTGTTGGTTGGTATAACACCATCTAAGAAGAAGGAATGCAAGATAGAGATGGCCTTTTCTCTTATCTCCATCCATACTTCCTCACTGTAATCTGCACTACGAGGTAGGATTAGCACATTTGGCATTTCCTTCACCTGCGCAATGAAACAAGATAACTAATGAATTCCGGATCTAATAAGAGCATAACAAATGGAAAAGAAATATATACCCATGCTTCCATCCATTGAGGACCTTCAGCACCATCAATGGCGCAACCAGCAATGGTGCCATCAATTAGAAGTTGTTTCACAGCACAATCATCCAGCAGCTGACAACTTCCAGTATTCACAAGAAAGGCCCCTAAAATAAAATTTAAAAAAAAAACAACTTCAATCTATATTCAGTCATGTACGTGACCAGAAAAGAGAGATGAATACCAGGTTTGATATGCTGCAAACACTCAGCGTTGAGTATCTGAACCGTGTTGTCTGTCAACGCACAGTGAAGCGAGATGACATCACTAGCTGCAAGTAGATCATTCAATGTATCCATTCTTCTGGCAGCACGTGGAAACCTCGATGGCCTGATTCGTTGCTCTTCGTCTCCCTGCAAACCCAAACCAATTGAAAATTCAAGGAATTACATACAAACAAGTGTGCAGATTAGGCAATAAACAACAAAGATACCTCAGGAGGGACATCAAAGTAGAGCACACTCATCTTGAAAGCCAAGCTCCTGCTAGCCAAATACCTAGCCGATACAGATCTACCGATTATACCTAAAACCATACCACGGCACCTTCTCATTCCCCTGCATAGCGGCTGCAGCGATCCAAGCCATCCGGAAGCCGAGAGCGCGTGGCGAGAGAGCAAGTGAGTCCGCCTGAGGAGTCCAAGGATGAGCGCCATGACCGTGTCCGCGATTTCCTCAGCTCGGGAAGTATCCACGTGGACGAGGCGGAGACCTAGGTCGGCGGCGAGAGTTGAATCGACGGCGCGATCGGCGGAACCGAGGCATAGAATGAGCTGGTGAGGACGGAGACGGCGTTGAGCTGCGCGTGGAAGGTAAGCGAGGGAGTGGAGGAGGACGGCGGTGGCGGACTCGATCTTACCATCGGCGATGCGGCTGAGCGGGACGTATTCGACACCAGCAACGCCGGCGAGGGAGTCCTGCTCGAGCGCACAGTCCTCGACGCAGTTGAGTGTGACGACGAGGGGAGACGGCTGGGGCATTGTCGCCGAGGAGGAACGGATCTTGCTCATCTGCTTTCTCTTCTCGCTGACGCTACTCTCGAGGAGGAGTACAAAGACATCTTGTGATTTTTTGGGATTTAGGAGGTTGAATGGTGTAAATTCGTAACAATTCAGGGACTAATCTTACATTTATAAATAGTTCAAGGGGGCTAATGTACACTTTTCTTTTAATTCCAAGAGCATACATACTATTTTGTCCGAATCTAAATGCTGATTCTACGACGCCGTTTTCCTTCAAGTTAGATCAGCTTATGACGTTTACAATGCCAAAGCAACTAACTACACAAGTGAGACATGTACACTTGCTAATCCTATGCCATATCATTTCTTCTTGACAAGGAACAAACACATTAGCCTCCAGAGTCTGGCAGCGACAACAAACAAACAACACGAGATATCTTTTTCTACACAGAAGCAGCAACATATACAAAATGACTTGAATAGAAGAAAAAAAAAAGCACTTTGACTCTCAAGACAAGACGGGGGAACACTCACTTGTGAAACTGATGTTATATGAACAAAGCCAAGACTATAAGCGATGAAAAAACGAAAACAACTCTCTCTATACAGCTATCTACCAAAATTCTATCTCCACGTTTCTTTCTTTCATTCATTCATGTAGATGGTCAGAGGAACCTCCTACGAAGGTTACTAGTAGTAGCTTGATATGAACGCATGAGCAGTCCAACTCCAATGCCAACGCCAAGGCACATCCCAAGGCCTATCCCAACTCCAACTCTTACACCTGCATTGAACCAAGATAGTTCACCATCCTCATCCACGTACATCCCTTCAGGGTAGTACCTCTCTCCCATTTTCATTTCATAGTCATCATCAACTTCTGACTTCATCATCTTCTGCATAGACCACACGACAAACAAGATAAGAAGATAAAACCTCCAGACACTTTCTAGTGATCATCTTTGTAACTAAATGAATATCTGACTGCAACAACAAACTATATAAACCTAAGAGCTATATCAGTTATTTCAATGAATTAGTTCAAAAAAAACATTCATAACTAGTCCACCACAGAAACAATCAAACACTAACTATATACCACAACTTTGATTTCAAATATCCGTCCTAACATAAGAATCATCAATCTATCAGAAAAATCGGAAGCATACCTGTATTGTCCGTTGTTCATCATCAGCAGTGGTAACATTGTCTTCCTGCTCTTTCTCAACCTCCTCGTCCTCGTCCTCGTCCTCAGGGATAGCGTCGAGCGTGACGTGTCTAGCCACCTTCCTCCTTGGACTCGCCAGAATCGTCTTAGTCAAAATCACAGGAACGCCCCCACAGCAACCAGCTATGTAAACCTCCACAGAGGGAGACGAAACGCCTCTGAAAAACGCAGAGGTAGAAGAAGAAGAACCTGACCCGTTGTTTCTCATAGCAACATAACAATCCATTCCCCATCCAGTCTTAGGATCACTCACGGTGCCGTTATCCCACGCACCTTCGATTCTATCTAAATTCCCACACATAACCATCTCCTCCTTATCGTACACCTCGAAATCGACCGACCCCGTGACACGCACGGCCTCCGTGCTCACGTAAGTCACCTCCGACGATTCCCGATCCACTCTGTCGCGCCGGAGTTTAAGAGACGCCGTCTGCGAGGGGGGAACGCGGACGCCGTTAACCTCGAGGGACGCGCCGGTGTCGCGGCGAGGGTGACGGAGGGTGAGAGAGTCGGGGACGTTCTCGACGACGCAGGGGGAGAGGCGGACGTAGAACAGACGAACCTCCAGCCACGCCGATTGCGATAACGTGATCGACGAGGAGGGAGAAACGGCGGAGGAGGAGGATTTCATGTGGAATGATTTACCCAGAGGATCCGGATGATGATGATGATGATCCTTCGAAATCATCGGAGCAATTGATGACAAAGTTCACCTCAGAGAATTTGATGATGAGAGAATTGGATTTTTTTTTTGTCGCTTTCTTTCTTTTAGGTTTTTGGGTTTGAGATATTTTTGAAGGTAAAAAAGGTCAAAATTAGATTTGTTTCAAAGACGCGGTAAATACGGAGGGATGGTCAAATCACAAACCGACTAGATCAAAATACCCACCCTTACGAGGATTATACACTCGCACGTGTGACACCTTCTCTTTTCAATGCTTTCATAACTGGGCCACAATATCCCACTTCTATAAGTTTTTATTTGGGCCTCAACAAATCACTACGACCCATGACCCCCTTTAACAATTTAGTAGTCTAATCAGTGTTTTCGTACGATTATACAGTAAAATTTTATATACCAAAGTACGTTTCATAGTTGCTCAAAAAAAGAAAGTACGTTTCATCAGTTTCTATTAAGGGTGGATTATGAACCACTCCTAGCTGCTTTCTTTTATTTTATCTTAATGATATTCTGTACTGAAACCGTATAGGCCATTCATATTAGGAGTAACAATCTTTTTTAGCAAAGTGTATAACTTCAGTTGCTGATACACTAAGTGTGTGTATATGTATGTGGCTGATTACACCATTGTTGTTATATATATTTAGGTGTTTTTTGCGCGTAAATGTATGATAAACTTTATGAATGATGATGTTTCCGCGTTTGCCCAACTTACTAATGCCTGCATGAATTATATAATGCGTTTCATTTGACGAGAGTTAATGATATAGATCTGTGCTTTTTCCACAATAAGGTCACGTTTTATATCTGCAAACCTAATCCTTTTTTAATCACAGCAATAATGATATGATTCGTGAAGCAATAATGATGATTCATAAAAGCAATACCATTCTACTCATTTGGCTCATTGACCGTACCCTCAAAATCCTTTTTTAATCACAGGAATTAAATTCTTCCCTGGACATACTTTTCTATGATTTTAGTTAGAAAAATTATGAGCCGTTGGAGCTATACCATTAGGAGATCACACACCGTTCAATCTCAGATCTTGTCGGATAAATCTGACCAGCTTTGGATATATATTTATAGTCCGGTTGTAATGTTTTCTTCTTCCCCCTCTTTTTGTTAACACCGAAAAGACCGGGGCTTGTCACTTCACCATCAAGCTTAGTAGGCGAGCTTAGTGACAAGTTTCAAATTAAATGAGATTCATAAGGCATCACAAATTAATTACGTTTTACTTTATTATAGATTTGCAGTTCATGTGTATGCCCGTAACTCAAGATCCGTGTCGGAGGTTTACTTAGTTGGTTTTACTTGACTTGTTAGCATCATGCGGTATGATCTTGACCGTATTTTTAGATTATCCTTTTATTAGTTTCGTTTGAACTAAACTAATACATAGCGTAGTTTTCAATCAACATTTAATTCGTACTCATGATTTACGCTGACGCTGGAAGATAATAATTCTTAAAATGTTAAACTAACTGACGATATACTTTGATTTGCCTTAACTCTTACAGTCTTAAATTATGTTAAATGAATAGAGGAATTTTTATATTCCAATATGTAAAATGTTCTCATATTTTTAGGCAAATTTCTTTTAATTTTATATAAAAAAAACTGTCTAACCAATAAAATTTAATAGTTATAATTTGTCATTGATTGACTAGTTTTTAATGTATAAATTTAAAGATATTTTCTAAATAAAAATTAACTTTCTTAATAAGTGTGTTTATCTAAAACATCTTATATCTAGTAACAGAGGGAGTATATATACTGTTAAGGAATCTCTACTCCCCTTTTTCTATCTATTGTCTTTTTTACGTATTCCATATATATATTTGAAAAGGCCTCTTATCGTATCACTAAGTAGACTTTTAACGTCGTCTACGTAATTTAAATGTCAGAAACTAGTAAACCCATTACTAGCGGCTGTAAGTACAATATTCCAACCATTTTAATTTGGTCAAACCATAAAAGCAAAGTGTTTTTGTCTGTAGAACTATCTTTTCGTCCAAAGCTTGCTATGAATGATAAACTAATAATCTAATATACGTCAAAATATGTTTACTCTTGGTTAATAGTCAAAGTGTTATACCGAAGTCCTCACAGGACCAGGATTAACGGTCCAGATCAGAATCTGAACATGGAAAATTCGACGGGATGCTTTTTCTCTTATGTCAAAATTGACGGGATGCTAAGAATTGAATTTAGAATCTCTTAAATTTATTAGAAGCCGCCTTTTAAAATAACCATATCCCACTCTAAATCACTTCGCATCCCCTAAGCCCGATGTTACTGCGTGTGCTATAGACACAATCCAATACTACTATTGTTAGGATTTTCAAAAAATAGAAATACCTGTTTTCACTAACAGAATATAAGGATAAAGAGATATCCTTAGAGTTTGAAAAAAAAAGAAAAAAAAAAGAGATATCCTTAGAGGTGTGTATAAACCAATGAATAGAGAAACATCTCGGGAAACTAAGATCATCTCTATTCTTACTACATAGTTTATTTCATTTTATTCAAAAACAAAGTAGAATTTAGCAAAAAAAAAAAAAAGAAAAACAAAGTAGAAAATAGAATAATGAGTAAAAATAAAAATATTACTTTAGAATTTTACTTTTTTTTGTTCATCTCCCTATTTCTCACTTTATTTTAGAGTAAATTTTGGAATAAAGATGGAGATGACCCAACCAAACCAACTAGACTAAACGCATAAGTACAACCAAACCAAATCATAGATCCAAGAACAAGACACCCAAGAACAAATAAATACCTAGCCTATATGTATATATTCCGTGGACGTTAAATATTTAAAAGAAAAATTGAATTCTTTACGTTGGCATACACGTGGAAATTATAGCTGTTTCCCACTACACTTGTAGTTTCTGTATTATTTTATTTATTAGATTTTTGGCTGTAGAATATTACTTATTTATTTGTCTTTGTTTTTTTTTTGTAACACTAATTTGTCTTTGTTTGGAGAATCGAATTCGTGTAGAACTGGGAAACTGATGGTGGGATAGCGAGGACTCAATTATTGGATAATTTCTGAAATATATAAATTTTAGGAGAAAAAAATCAATCATAGAATTGTAGATTTAGACATAAATACAGAGAGAGATATTGTGATAAAATACCATTATTAACAAAAGTTTTTTGGTATCATCCTTTACATATTTACCAAGAAAGAAAACTGAAAAAACAACCAACAACCTTATTGGATATTGCAACATGTCTCTCGGCACCATTGTATAAAAAGACAACAGTATAAATTTATTCTCGTCCAAAAAGAAAAATACATGAATTAAAATAGTTATAAATTTTCAAGTTAGGAATTGGTTTATAATATAAAAAGGAAAATGACGTGGATAAGGTGAGAAATAAATTTGAAAGAGTCGGAAAAAGGAATCAACAAAAACCAAAGGACCGAAAGTAAATGACGCTGAGCAGCATTTGAAGACGTAATCATAGCACGCGCCTTATCTCACGCGCATGAAATGGCTCAAAAAGAAGATCTCTCTCTGGTACCATTCATTATTATTGAGACACTCTTTCTCTCTGCATGCATCTCTCTTTCTTACATTTTTTTTTTTAAAATCAGTGTCCAATCTCTCTTATCATCATCAAAAGTTTCCTATTATTTCATTCTTCTTCTCGTCCTCAGTTTTCACTAACTCAAAGACAAACTTCTTTCGCATCTCTCTCTCTCTCTCTCTGCATACAAAAGTAAAAGCCAAAAAAGAAGAAGCAGAGAGCAATGAAGGTCCATCTCTAACTCTTTCTCTCTCTCTCTCTACACACACGTAGGCAAGATTTGATTCCTAGTATTTGAATTTCTATAAGAAAATGGGTTTAGATTCTTGTTCATCTTACTATATATGTTCACACACATACACATGCATGTTACTCTGTGTATGTGTTCACACTGTTCAGTAGTGTTCAGTAGTGTTTTTGGTATATTCTTTTAACCTTCAAATCTGTGTGTTTTGTTCCTTTTTGATTCTCTGACTTGTTCTAGACGATTTAATGTTCTTAAAAATCATTTTGCATGATATGTAAGCTTCCTGAGAGAATACCTAAAAAGAGAAGATTAGTTAGCTCATCCTTGTGCTCACGTCACTTTTAATTATATACTTCACTGAATCTCATAGAAACTGTCTGTCTTTTGTGATAATTTTGCAGAAAATTGTGTTAAAGTTGGATCTGCATGATGATAAGTCCAAACAAAAGGCCCTTAAAACAGTTTCTACTCTCCCAGGTAATCATCCTCATCAGGAAATAAATCAGCATCCTCCTGTATAGGCAGTAAATTGTTTAGGGCACACATTACAGATCTCTTTATCTATAGTTTTTTTTTAACACATCTCTTTATCTATAGTTATCCCTTATAATTCTAAGCAAACTATTAAACCATTGATTTCCGGTCAATTATGCCCGGTTTCGGTTTCTGATTTGTTTGGTGGGGTACACGTATAAACAAATAAAAATGCTAAAATTTATTTCAACAATCACGAGCTGTTCTGACAGAGGTGTCTCCTTTTTTAAAACAGTGACGGTACGGTAAAAAGTTCCGCCATATTTCAATTATTGTATTTGTGAAACCCATTACGTTTAAAACTTTGGAATAATTCACATCTAGGCCACTATTGCTTCTTCGCGATACGTGCCCTTTTTTTTTGAATTATAATAAAGAGTCAAATATTTTTTGTTTGTCTCTAAAATGTGGTGACTTTATATCAGTGGGGGAAAAACTTAAATGTTTAAAGAAAATGATTACAGTTTGCATCTTATTTTTAATAGGTATCGATTCAATTGCAATGGACATGAAGGACAAGAAGTTAACGGTGATTGGCACCGTGGATCCGGTGAATGTAGTCAGTAAGCTAAGGAAGTATTGGCCAATGACGGATATCATATTGGTGGGACCTGCGAAGGAGCCCGAAAAGGAGAAGAAGGAGGAGCCAAAAAAGGAAGGTGGTGGCGAGCCTCCGAAGAAAGAAGGGGAAGCTCCAAAGGAAGAAGGTAAAAAGGAAGGAGAAGCTCCGAAGAAGGAAGAAGAGAAGAAGGAAGGTGGCGATAAGAAGGAAGGGGAGAAGAAAGATCAACCACAACCACAACCGCAGCCACAGCCTCAACTACTACCACCACCAGATCATGTGTTGGAGCTCGTAAAGGCGTACAAAGCATATAATCCTCACCTAACAACGTATTACTACGCCCAAAGCATTGAAGAAAACCCTAACGCTTGCGTTATATGTTGAAAACATGTATAATATACTATATTTTGGGTGAAAAATTGTGAAAGATGATCTATACTGAGGAAGAAGAATAAGAAATAGAGGATATATATTAGACTACGATATGTCGATTAGTATATGTTCTTTTCCTACATAATGGTAGGGTGGGGGGGGGGGATTCAAGTTCATGTTTCGGAAAAGAAGTTTTTATTTCCATGATGTGGTTTGTGTATATATCGTTGGAGTGTACTATAATTTCTATTCTTTGTTTGTTTGAACTTTGAAAACTTTTGTATATATATAGTAGGATGGTGTTATATGTATCGCATTTTAGTTGTGAAATACTATTAGAGTGCTTCTATGCAGATAATTTTACTGATATCCCATGGAATGATGAAATTGCATACAGGATTCTATATGTTTTTATCCGTCAAATAACTACGCAAATCGTTAACGGTGAGCGCAACAAACAAACCGATTTGTCTCGGGTACTTTTCTTCTAATTGCTACAAGCTTTTTCCAAGTTGGCGCACCTGATGATCCTTTCCTTTTCAATTGATATAGTTCGTGCTGTTCTTCTGTCGAAATCCAATCTTCGTTTATTTTTCTAGTTTGATTATTTGTAAACTTTTTCAATTTTGGTAATTCACAGAAACTCTTTAACAAATTTTTTTTTTTTTATAATTATAAAATTTGCAAAACAGAAAATATATATTGGAGCCATTATATTTAAAACGTATGTGGGTGTAAGTGTAGGTGCATAAATGTTGTTGGGCGGCTTATAACATTTAGCGGTAAATATGATGTGATGATCAATTTGCTAATTTATTAATACTTCTGCTTTGCACGAAGCGAAAGGGCATGGCCTTCATGACCATCTGATGAGTCACTTTTAGAATTGTAAAAAGAAAATATGATTTTAGATTCTTTTTTTTCTTAAAATGTACTTTTAATTCGATCAAATTTAAAGATTTGGCTCTATATTTCTAAAACACACAGAAAGTTGATGACATTTTCAGTAGATTGAACAATATAGTCTTCACATAACCAAAAGCATTATAAACGTCATAGATCAAGTTGTCTCAACTTGAAACCAAATGCAAATGTGAAAGCTTTTGGGTTGGTAGCCACCTAAAATGTGCATGTCAAAATCAAATAAAAACTTCGGCTATTTTATTATTATTATTGTTATATATTGTTATGGGTCAGAGCTAGAAAAATACATGAGAAAATAAACCCGTGAATCCAAAAGAATTATTCACTACAAAAGAAAAAGAAACGTATGCTCATGTCAGTATTTCTACGAAACAAATAAACATATTACGTCCTTATCTTCCGTTAAATAATGTTGATGATTGTGAATGGACCGAGATACATACAGTTACCTAGATACATACAACTATTATTCTGTATGAAAAGGATTGAATCATTTTCCGAAAATATGGAATTTGTTTTGTCATTATATAATTTTTTAAAGAACATTACGCATTATAGCGAGAGCTTGGGTGTTGTCACAACAACAACACCCAGTGAGCATACGGGTAGATCAATTTTGGTTTGTCTTAAAAAATTATTTTGATTATTACCGGAAAAAACTTTGTGTGATCATTAATAAAGTAATTAATCCTATTTTTCTTATTGTGAAATTGATGTAACAGACCACCGGGTTGTCATTTTGAAATTTTATTCGGGTGATTGATACGTTTATGAACGGTATCAATATCAACCAAGAGTCGGTCCAAAGCAGCCCTATCTTCGCTGCTTGCTTTTTTTTTTGAACGACTTCACTGCTTACCTACCAAGTGTTAATATCATATAAATAAAGTAATAAATACAAACACATATGTGTGATATAAATATGGTCCCGTGAGCTTAATAACTTTCTAAATCTGAGATTTATGGAATCGACAACTCATGGCTCATATTTACCCAAAAAAGGCTGAATCATATCTTTTGTTTCATTCAAGCTGGCGATTATTAAAGAACGAAAAAAGAGAGCTGACGCTTCATCATTGTAGATGTCATCATGTTTTATAGCCGAACATTCTTAGTAAATTTGTCACTTAGTAACGATTTAATAATTTGGTTTTTATCATGTATGGTGCAGCTAAACTGCTGATGAAACTTTCAGCACCCACCATATATTTGGCTAAGGCACGTCATATCGAATGTTCAACATTAAGTAAATTTAACAGTTATTTTAAAAAGAATAGGCATGGTGGCATGCATATGTGACGTATTGGGCGAACAACAAAACATGGTTCTAGAAAAATCGAATAATTAGCTTAACAAATTCTCCATTACGTATCAACCTCCCCAACTAATAAACTGTAGTATCCCAATTATAGAATATAAAAATATATTTCATTTAATACACACATCAATACAAGAAAACCTTCCAAAAGTACAACTACTACGCACCAGCACCATTAGGATAATCTATGGATCAAATCCCTGAGTGAGAAAAAAACAGCAAGAAAGAAAATATGCACACAAATCTTAAAAGTTACCATTTGACCCCAGAAAAAAACTTGTAGTCAAAATCAACCCTAGTGTTGAAGTTGAATGATGCAAATCTTACAATAAGAAGAAAAAAAAACATTTGCCTGGTGACTTATTAATTAATTTTTTCAGCATTTGGAGTGAAACGAGGACGAGGTCACCCAATTGCTCAAGAGTCCAGTCTTGTGGTTTCAGATTCGGAGAAGAGGTGAATGTGGTGACATTATCCCCGGCGAGGAGAGTCCATCCTCGTAAAGACGTCGGAAACTTAGTCGGAGGTTGCTCTGCTTCCATTTCTGCTTCTTAGCATTGTTATTCTGAATTATCTGATCATTATCCGATGCTTTCTCAGCGGTCTTATTGCTATTCTTGGACACGAAATCTTGGATCCGTCGAAGCGCCACATGAAGAGTATCATCATCCATGTTGGCAAAGCAAACCCTAAACCACCCAGGTTCCGTGCATTTGAAGGAAGAGCCTGGCGATACATTGAGCTTCACTTTGTCGATGATTATATGCCAAAGTTCGATCTCAGATTCAAACGAGTTACGAACCCTTAGTAGATGTCTCAGATCCATCCACACGAATAAACCTGCGTTGCTTATTAAACAAGTAATACCTGCTTTCTTGAGCCCTACGGTTAAAACATCATGCCTTATCCCCAACCTTCTCGAACTTTCCGTAAGGAAATTGTCCACGAACCGATCATCCGACAGCATCGAAGCAAGCATGAGCTGTGTCTGAGACGACACTAGTCCGAAGCTCGACATCTTTCTTGCGCATGACACGACTGAGTCGTTGTAAGAATAAACTATACCAACTCTAAAACCGGGAAGTCCCATGTCTTTGGAGAGACTATAAACAATGTGAATCAAGTCAGCGTTGACTTCAGAGCAATCTAAGTCTTTGACCACCTCAGCTACGCTCACAAAATTTTCTCCAGCGAAGACGGTGGCAGCATAGATTTCATCAACGACGAGGTGAATGTTCTTTTTCGTGACGAACCGGACTATGTTCTTAAGTGTGTCTTTGTCTAAGATTGTACCGAGTGGGTTTGATGGGTTGGTGAAGAGTAGGCCTTTGACATTTTTGTTGGACTCTAGAGCTTTTTCGTAGGCCCATTCCACGGCCTCGACGCTTAATTTGAAGTCGTTGGAGCTGGAACAATGAACCGGGACTATCTCGACACCTGTGCGCCACCTCAAGTCTCTATCAAATCTATTAAAAAAAGAAAAGAAAAAGATTTAAATGATTGTCTGTCTGTGAGCTTACTCGTTGAATCAAGACAATCAAGTTTATAGTTGGTAATAATACCTCACACGTGTATCAAAAGTAGAAAAGAGAGTCAAAACTTGATACTTATAGCTATAAACACATTTTGATTTGAAATTTGTTAACCCAAACCAAAAGTATGCGATAGTTACACTAATGAAATTCCCCCAAACTTTCTTATTCTTTTCTATTTTCGTTATAACCCATTCACACTATCCATATTCAAAACTTTTTTTTTTCACGATAAATATCATTTCAACAAATTCTAATCAGTTCAGTTCAAAAAAGACGGTTTCTAATCAAATTAAAAATTAACTAATTTTTTTCAATTAAAAGAGAAACTACAGTATACTTTTGTGTTGTTTTTCATACTAAATTTAGCTTCTAAAACTAGAAAAAATTGTAGCTAAAATAATAATAAATTTTCAAAGTTATAATACTTTAAAATGTTCACTAATATATATGTCAAAAGATGAAGATACTTACGCGGCATAATAAGGAGATGGAACAAGAAAAACATCGCCGGGATCGGCCAGGCAAAACATAATTGTTTCATTGGCTCCGGTAGCACCGCCACTCATCACTATCCTCTCCGGATCAAACGTAACTCGTCCTCCTCTAGCTTTTCCCATGAAATTTGCGATCGCCTACAATTTGAAAAGTTGAGTTAATTAGAATCAGACGGTTATATATATATTAATGAACATAGCAATGTTAGAATTCTTTATTTTTTATATTCCGTACGTATATTAACTTAAACTGTGTACGAATTACAAGATATATGATGAAATGTGATTAGTTAACGCCATAATAGTCTTAACTCTTTAAGGCAAATGATGAAATATACCTGTCTAAACTCTTTAAGGCCATGGTAGTCTTGGAAGTTAGCGATGTCGCTAAATTGATGAACACCCTCAGGAGTGCAAACAGAAGCTTTTGGGTTCTCTTTGATCCAATCTTTGATCAAGTCTAAACACAGCTATATAATTTATAGAAACAAAAATGTGTTAAGTGATGTATGACGCCGTCATACTAATAATATATACACGAGAGTATAAGTGCGTTAATTTGTAATGCTTTAATGGCATATTATTTGTAATATACTAATATATATGTATGGATATACCTGATTCTCTGCAAGACCCATTTGGATAATCCCGTGGGGATTACGAGAAAGATGAAAAGGATCTTTGTCGTAAGCTTTCCATCCATCAAAATACTCCGAGTTTTCTCCGTGTTGGTCGTTGGTCGCTATCCTTGACAAAATCGCACTGCTTACACCGCCACTCTTTTTCAGAGAACCCATTTGTTGTTTTTATTCTGATCTTTCTTGCAGATTTTTTTTCTTCTTCTGGTACTAATATTGATCGTATTATAGGCTTTGTGGTGTTTGCAATTGATGCATGAGTATGTGGTTTATATATAGGAGGCTAGGAGCTATGTTAAATAAAAACCCTGAGGAGACCAAATAAAGTTGATATGGGGTCCCCCCCCCCACCAAAAAAAAAGAGTTCGGATTTGATGAAACAATCGAAAAAGAACAAGCAATATCAAGGAAGATTCTCCACCCAAAACAAAATACATAACGCTATTTATATTTTGAAAATGTGATTTTATAAGGAGAACCAAA